GTGTTTTTCAACCACTATCTACTATATTTTCCGCTGGATTTTTACAAGATATTAAAATTATGTCTTGAAAGTATCTGGATGAAGACCTGGGTTTTTCCTGTGTTGTTAGGGAAACTAATACTCCTTATCCTCTTTCATGTTGAGCCTCCCTATTTTCATAGCTTAAGTGATCTAGAGTACACTTAGACTGCAAGTTTCAAGCTACAACACAGAGCTTTTTGTTGTGAAAACTGCTTCATTTGGGTATAGCAGTTCATTTCCTTCTCACCTTCCAATCTTCTTCCCATTTCTGAATATGCCAAAGCACTTCTATTTTCTATAATTGTTTCATGCATCTCAGTGACCCAGGGACATTTTGATGCCAACTGGCAAAGGCCACAGGGGATGTATAGAGTTTTACAGGAACCCACCCCACCCCAGAGCCCGCAACCCAGCTGGAGCCCTCACCCCGTCCTACACACCCTCCCCCTGGGCCAGCTCGGTGAAAGTGAGTGAGTGAGGGTGGGGAAAGGGCATGACAGAGGGAGGGGGGATGGAGTGAGTGGGGGCGGGACCTCATAGAAGGGGTGGGACATGGGTGGGGCCTTCGGGGAGGGGCAGGGGGCGGGGCAAGGGTGTTTGGTTTTGTGCAAATAGAAAGTTGGCAACCCTATAAAGATATCTATAAACATATCTAAGTGCTATGTGTTAAATGGAGCAGTGATCTGAGGTATAACTGGTATACTGAGGTCTACTGCTCCTGTAGAAGCAGTGAATCTGTGAATGCTGCGTGTGTCTAGAGCTGATGACTCCAGGCTTGGGGACCTGGAGGGCTTGGGGACTGGAGTGTGCCAATCACTAACCGGTAGAGAGGCAGTCAGGCCTGTATAGGCCTAGAGGGGAGAGTGTATGTTACCCATGACTGGTGAAGTTGGGGACCTGACCTCTGGCAGGTACAGACAAGGCTTCCTCATGCTAAGGGCAGTCTGGGGTAATCCTGAGAAGCGTCATCATCTCTCACTCCTCAGAAATGAAAACTACTGGCTGGATAGAGCAGCATCCTGAGCCGAGTGATTCTGTAGAACTGATGAATGAAATTGTTTAATTGTTCACTTTATTAATGTAACTTCATAAGTAAAGTTTTATGAATGAAACAATATTATTCATAAAACCAGTTACCCCAATAACTGGCTAATTAACAGTTAAGATGCTTGTTAAGAGCCATAGTTGTTCAGTCAGCTGCCTTTGTAAATTTCACTATCAATCCAATTCCTGCTTAAGTCACTGAGACTTGCACTGTTTCAGTATTGTAACTTCTGTTCACCATTTCTTACACTTGCCTACACTGTTTGCCATCCATTATACTTGTCTATATTGTAACTTCTGTTCACTGTTTGCCATATTGTAATTCAAACCCCATTTTAAAATGCTTACTCCATTTTGTAAGGGCTTGCTGCAACCTTCATTTTTGCAAACCCTGCTGTAATCTTATTAGTTTAGTTTAGATGTGTGAATGAGGTACGTATGGATGATGGAATCAGCCTCCAGCCCCAGCCTGTCCTGATTAAATAGAGTTCAAACACCAATGGCTGAAGATGCAGACAAGAGCCCTAACAAAGTAAGAAGAATCCACCCTAAAAAGAAAAGGTACAATAGAAGGAAGATCAAAGCCCGGTCCCAAGCTGAAAGTCATGTCTGCAATTGACAGGTGATCAATCACCAAACCTGGAGGCAGCGTGACACATAGACTCTGGATTCAAACTAAAGCCTACAAAAAGGATGGGTGAGATGGAAAACTTTGGAGGAGGGTAACATTCTGCTGCCAACATGGAAGGGTATCGGTGCATGCCCAACAGAGACCCAGCTCGTCCTTGTGCCCGGCTTTCCTGGCCAGTTAGTCGCCACAAGCTACGAACCCAAGCTGCAAACTCAAGCCACAGACTCAAGCAGGCCTGGTAACTATGCAGCAGCTGCAGAACATCTGATGGATGTGTGTGTGTGTGAATGTGTGTGTATAGGTATTAGGTATAATGTGTGTGTATAAGGATTAAGATATTAGTTATTGGTCATAAATCAAATTGTTATCATAATAAATGTGGCATCTTTATCTTGTCCCCTTTAATAAGATCCTGCTAGTTTTTATTGGTATAACAATTCCCACTCATATAAATTATAATTTTCTGAGTAATGTTGGATTTTTATGGCTAGTTCTTATCAGATAAGTGTCTCATTGTAGCAGACGTTCTGCTTTGCTTTGTGGATCAGATGCCTAAAAATCCAACCGTATTGCATTTAAAATAACTCTTCATATTTGGCATTACCTTAGAAAGCCACCTCTGCTTGTAACTGTTTTCTGTTGCATTAGGGTTGAAGACTAGTTACAATGCAACAAGCCAACTGGAAATAGAAGGCACAGAGATAAATAATACATCAGATGAATTGTTAATGTATGCAGATGATATTCTAATACTAATTAAGGCCCATATTTTATCCTACAATATTTCCTGTAGAGCAGAGTAGAAAACCTACTTCTTTGGAGCAAAAGTCAGTAACAGGTGGGGAGCTAAGGCAGAGCAATACCAACCCTCTTGCACTCCTGGTCCAATTTCTGATGGCTGATTTTCTGTTGAGTTTTGTGGTGGAGGTAGGGCTGGAGGAAATGGCCAGCAATTTTCTTCTTGACATTAGGAAAGTTATTGGGATTTTATGCAGCAAGTTGATATGGAAAATGTCCGCACTGACTTATGCCAACTCCGTTTCTGAAACTTCAGATCTCCTGACTGGGATGTGTGTGGTGTAAGCAGAGAGAAGAGACATACTGCCAAGGGGATAGGGACAAAGGAAGGACTTAAGGAGCAAACAGGAGGGCATGGGCTCTGAGACTGACAGCAATTCCTCATGGACCTTGGGACATCTGCGGGTTACCAGGAACATATCCCCTGCTTGCTCTGCCAATTAACAAACCCCACATCATGAGCACATGATGAAGCAGGCATTAGCCCCCTCCCCTCCGCTACAGGAGAACATGAGCTGGGATCCAAAATCCAAGCCAATCTCTGATACATTAATGAATTAAGCCATATCTCTGGATAAATAATAATCCCAGAAAACCTAAAGTTTTACCCCTTTCAGAAATGTTGCCTTCTGCCCATTGTTGTTTTGGAAATGAAATTCACAGTAGTCCCATGAACATGTAAGATGTGTTGGGGTTAGGTTAAATCAAGGCTTTTAAACCAAGTTTGAGATAATTGGAGTGTGCTGATTAAAAAAAAATCATGAGCACCAAAAAAAAAGAAGGGGGCGGGGGGAAGAAATAGATTTTATATCTGAGTCAGAATACTCTTTAAATGGTTTCAGTCACCAAATTAAGTTATATTTCATATGTGCTGCCATTATAAATCTAAAAACTGTACTTTGAAAAGTTTAAGATATTTTCTATTTATATAGGTGGGAAGAGATCCCAACTGGAAATACAGTGAAACCCCGCTATACCGTGATGTTTGGGGTCCAAAAAATTACATCGTGCTAAATGCGGGGTCGTGGTATAGCGGGGTTTCATGCCCATCAGTGGTCCCCAAGGCGGTGCACTGATGTGCACCACCTAGTGCCCATAGTGCCTAGTGCCCAGCAGGGGAGAGAAGCTGCGGCCCCGCGCCTGCCGGGGACAGTGAGCACCGGCACCGGCAGTCCTGTTGTTCTCTGTCCCCGGCAGGCGCGGGGCCGCAGCTTCTCTCCCCTGCTGGGCACTAGGCAC